TGTTATTTCTTCTTTTTTTACTCCTCTTCCCCTCTCTTCCTCCTACAGCTTGGATCCGAGACAGGAGGAAGGAACCCCCCACCATCGAGGTACGTTTCCCTCCCTCCCCCCAGCCTCCCTGCTGTGCTGATGGTTGGACTCCAGGGGACTGGTTACACAGGAGGAAAAGAAGCAAAGATGGAAAAAAGTGACTGTTTGATTTGTTTTATCTCACAGTTTGGAACTGAATCCAGTAAGTTTGGGGGACATGTGTTAAAATAAACAGAAGTGCACTGATGGCAAGACAGAGCAAAGACAGCCTCCGAACAAGAGGCTTACTGACACCATGTCCTAGCTTACTTTCTTTTTTCTTCCAGCATAAGCCTGCATTTCGGCTTTTTGTGTTTTATTTCTGGCAGGCTGCAGGATTGGAATGTTGAAGAAGTGCAGTCCCCCAACCCCCCACTCCCCATGTACATCTCACTGGGTATATTGCTCTTTAAATCTGAGAATGCTGGGAATTATTTGGCCAGTGAAATGCAGGTCTGTAGGAAATCCCTGAGAAAGCTGACACACAGGCATTCCTTCTATCTGTCTGTCCTCTGTCCCAGTCTGTGGCAAATGCCATCCCCTGCCTCCTATGCCAGAACATTCTCTTCCAATTTTCTGCCCCTGCTGTTGCCCAATAGCTGCCATCAACAGCTGGACAGTGTTGATGTGGCCAAGGTTTTACTCCCAGCACATTACCCTACCCCTTGTCACGCTCTATGTCTTCCCAGTCCAAGCCGACATAAATTGATTGGATTAAACCCTGTCATTAACAGGCTGGAAAAGCAGCTCAGTATGTTTGTCTCTCTCCCCAAAGTGAGGCTTCTGGGCCACAGCTCTCCCCCTCTCTTTTCCATTCCCACAGTTCTGCCAACACATAACATCATTATGCCCAGTACACCCTTCCTTTTGGCTGCCCGTATTAGGGAGAGGCTAACATCAGTGGACACTAGCTGAGCCTCGAGTGGATAAGTGTTCCACTGGTCTGGACTTTGCTCAGGTTATAATTGTTTCCATGAGGTGGAATGGTTGTTTACGTTGCGGATGCCTCCTGTCAGGTTAGTTTACCCATCTGTGTCAAGCACTACACTTCTAACCAGAGTTTATTGGAACAATATACAGCAGGTTAACAGAACACTTGTGTCCCTTTTCTAGTAAATGCCCCGTTTTATTCTCCACACATTTGTTCCTGGAAGCTGCTGAGTGTAACTTTATGTCATTTTGCTTTTGACCCACTGATGTTACGTTACACTAAGACTGAACAGCTATCGCTAACGGAGAGGGGTGAGGTGGGGGGTATCACTGATTCCAGTGGCGGGCTGTGCATTTCACACCTAGGCTTTCAGTGATGTCCTACTTAGTCCGACTTCAATAAATACCTCTCATAATATCATAATTTAGGACACCACGTGACCACGGCTGGAGAAATTGTATACAGAAACACACTATAAGCAATACTGGGCATTGCATCATCTCAATTGTGTCCAAAACGGGCTATTTTCGGACGCATTAAAAAAAATCAATAAATCCGCAAGTAAATAAATAAAATAAATAAAATGTTTGTACTCACTAAAACAGCTGTCCTCCAAAACAGTTATTTTAACACAAAATCCATTCTCCCTTCTTTCCTCAAGAAGACCTCAATGACTTGGTTGTACAATTTATCTGTGCGCTTCAGTTCCAACAATAAATCCCTTTCGCACCTGTTCGTTGAGCTGTGCATCCACTCGGGTGCCCCAAAAAGTTTTAGAAGCACCACAGCTTGCAAGTGTCCAGTCGTGCTTTGGTGTCTCATTGCTGCAGTAATTAAGCAATTTAAGTTCAATTTAACTTCTTGTTGTTTTAACGCGGTAAGCGAGTATCCAATTACAGGACGCATACATGTCATGTTCAACGTGAGGCTAGCTAGAAGGCCTACTGTCAACAACTCCTGATCTGATTGGCTATCGTAACTGTCTATCAACTGTATGTGCCCGTTTGCTTCCATTGCAGACACCCGCATTGTTGGTTCTGAACACCATAGGCAGATTTCATACAGCCTGGCAACAGCTAGCTGAATTCTGATTGGATAAAAGCTCTAACCTAAAAACAACAACACTGGAAGGAGCCTGATATGACATGAAGAGAATATGAAGAATATGAAGTGTGTTATGTATTTAGGAAAAGTACATTAAAAATGAAATGAACTTTTATCAACTTATGATCATGATTTATGTTAGGCTAGCAGAGAAGGCCTTGCTGGCCCTGACGGCCCAAAACCGACTGATTCATACTCCCAAAATATGTTGCACTTAACTTTTTTAAATCGCGGTACATCTGCAGCACTGAAACCCAGGGTGATGATGTCATACAGGTGGGGTTGTGTGACATCCTGGAGAAGCAGAGGAATTCACCAGTTTCACATCACATCTGTTGTCCCTTACACACACCCAGCTGAACACACTGGTCACCACTGCTGTATGTGTGTAGTAAGTTGAATATAAAGCAGCTCACTCACTGGTTGCAAATGGAGGACCAAAATAAACCTGGAACTCTTCTGCTGGTTTTGGAAGTAACCCCCAGTGACTGTGTGTCTATGGGAAAATAAGACTAATTCTGCATTTCAATTGTCATCATTTTCTTGAAATGTTCTGTTCAATAGAAAACAGAAATTAGAATCACATTTTTTAAGGGCAAAAACTCTGACACAAGCCTGGTTTTAACCTGTAGGCTGCTTCCTATTGGGTCATATATTTTACTCTCTCTAAAACTGACCTCATGTTTAATTGCAGTCAACCTAAAGTTGCTGATACTTCAAACAACGGTTGACAGTAATGTTGACGTGCTTTAAAAATCAACTAAATCAAGTACACCGTTGCATGTAAACGTGAGTCGAGTTAATCAATACATTTGTATGGAGCTGTGTCTTACAGAAGCAGAGAATTCCGTGCCTTCATTTATGGACAGATTGCCTAAAAAACTTAAACTAACAGACAAAGGGCTGAATCTCTAACATCCTCGAAAAAGTGGTGTATCAATTACTAATTACTAAATCTTCTTTTGTGATTTACTTGCTGTATTTGTAAGGTTTTTAGGTTATGGTGAAAACTCTAGAAACCCAGAATGTGACTCTTGTCTGTTTTTTTTTTCCTTTGCTTGTTTGGTTTTGTAGGAGCTTAGAGAATCAGTCCTATAGGGAACAAATCGAGCTGAAGGTGAAAGAGTTGGACCAGGCCCGGTCGCTTCAGTAGTACAAAGATGGACTGGTAACTGCTCCCGTACAGGCGGTAGCCAAAGGCCATGCCACAGCCAGCACCTATGACAAGCCGGATTTTTCAGAGGAACCCACCAGCACTGCAAACACTTTTCAGCCTGGCTCTTGGAAGCCCAATTCCAAGAAATACGTTTGTGCTGTGAAATACAATACAATCTAATAGACCAGCCCTACAATAAATATCATGATTGTGTTACAAATATCCACAGAAGCAATATTGGAAACATCTTGGAAAACAGTCATGAGTTTAGTCAACTCACATCTGAATTGTTCGCTGATATTTCTGCATCAGGGTTACAGTGAAAGTATTTATTTCAATTATGTTTATTGGTTTGCAATACATTATGAAGAGTTTGTACTTCTGCTGCCTTAGTATATACTGTGTATACACTGTGGGGTGTGGTTGTGGTTTGGTTGCAAATAAAACATTTGCACTTCTGCAGCACTCTGTTCTATGATGTTTAAGGAATATTAGATAGATTCTTTTTAGGAGAAGCAGGAGTGAGTAAGCAGCAAGAGCAAGCACATTTTGGACAGGGTTGAGAGTTTTTTTAAAAATCAATATTGTTAAAGAATAAGCATCACCCTGTGGTCAGTTCATCCAGTCCTCTTACTATTTTAATGTACAGTCCAGGGATGGGCAAACTCTCTGGCTCAGAGGCCAAAATGAGGTTCAAATTTTGACTGGTGGGCTAGTTCAGTGTTGGTTGGCTGTAGAATGCTGGATGAAATAATTTAAATAAACATAGAGGTGTACAGAAAACCAACCCACACCGACCAGTACCTCCGTTTTGACTCACACCACCCACTGGAGCACAAATTAGGAGTCATCAGAATCCTACAGTCACGGGCAGACACCATTCCCACCACCAACAGAGGTAAGATGAGAGAACAGGGACAGATTAGGACAGCTCTCGAGACCTGTGGCTATCCCAGATGGGTGTTTTTTTAAAAAAAACAAAACAAAAAGAGGCCCACAAAGAGGAAGGACAACAGGAGGAGGGGGAATGTCGTCATTCCATACATTTCAGGAGTTTCGGAAAAACTTAGGAGGATCTTTAACCAACACCAGATCCCCGTACATTTCAAACCTGGCAACACCCTAAGACAAAAACTGGTTAATCCCAAAGACAAGACTCCAAGAAACAAGCTGGACAATGTGGTTTATGCCATTCAGTGCAGTGAGGAGTG